ATTTGGTGTAAGATGATCTTGTCCATATATATATATATATATATATATATATATATATGTATGTATGTATGTATGTATGGGCTTATCGTTTCTCAAGCTGCTTGAGATAATTTTATCTCCAACTACTAAATCATAACAGTACAAAGATAGATCAATGGTGATAAAAGAAGAGAGAAAAAAAGAGAATCATAACCATTTAAAGGTGAATCAATTAATATAAGGAAATAAATAAACAAAATGACGTAGTTTTGAGGTGGTCGGAGATAAACTTATCTCAAATTGTCGGAGAAATATTTTTTCCTATATATATATATATATAGTTAATATTTGTATAAAAATAAATAAAAAAATATTATATTTAATTGTAGTCATTAATTTACGTGCATGAGATAACTCTCAATGTAGTAGGTCATGTTTAATTAGCAAATGAATTAATATCCTTCAAGGGCATCATATGCATCAATCTTAACCTTAAGAGACATTTATAAGCCATCAAGATGCTCACCCTAAATTATTCTCCAAGTACTGACTCTATTGAAAAAATTTGGAAGACATGGTCTCACTTGATATCATTGGCAACATTCTTAGATAATACTTGACTATTGTCTTTTTACATAACCAAAACCATACAATAACTCATAACTTGTCGAACTACTTGGAGTTTTTTTGTGTGTGATCTCTCTCAGGAGTGGAGAGCTGTCTTATACATATAGAGTCACTTGATATTTCTTGCTAGTTTCCTCAAAATTTAGTTGCACTTCCAGATATAGTTGAATTCTTTCTCTTGTTCTTGTTTTCACTATAATGGCTACAAACCAATAAATAGTAATATATTTTTATTTTATATAAAAAATTACAAAAAATTTAGTGTTATATAATAAATAATAAAGCACATCATGTTTTAGATTATTTTGTTCAAATCACAAAACCAATCATTGTACAACACATAAAATATCATGTATTGAAATAATTATTATTTAAGATTTTGTACAAAAAATAAAAATTATTAAATATTTATAATTACAAAAAAAAAAAAATTGTTGACTGCAAATAAATTATCGTGGGTGTGTTCAGTTGCTCCCCTAGTTCTCATGTTACTTAATAGGTGTGTTTATTGAAATTAAGATTGGATTTATGGGTTATTTTCTTTTTCCACATCTGTTACTCCAAATGTCAACTCAGGGATAATCAATTTTTTTATGATTCTTTGATTACATATTTAAAAAATAAATTATTTTAAATTTTAGTACAGATTCAATTATAAAAAAGTTTAACAATATAAAAACATGTAGAGCAAAACTTAAGTGAACTGACCTTTAATCTTGAGATAAAATTCTTTCAAGCTTTTTATATTAGGTTCACATTTTATTGTATTTACTTTTATTTATAATATAAAAAAAATATTTTCACCCCCAACCCATGAAACATTTATAAATTAAAAAGGAAACGAGAATAATTTGTAAATTGATCACAATAATTTTTATTTTTTTTTGTGAAATATCGTTGTGTGAAAAGAAAAGATGAAAAACATTTTTTTGTTTTTTAGTAATTCCAAAAAAAATAAAAAAATTACATGACCAACAGAGGGTCTACTATAACCCAAGCTATCAAACTGGACATGTTGCAACACAAACGGGATGCTATGAGCCTATGATGAACATGCAGACTAGATTCTAAGTTGATCGTCTATTTTGTTAGCCAATTTGCGCAGTGATTTTTATCTTTCTTAGCATGTGCCAAGTATACCTCCTAGTTCTTCTCCTTCCAATCCTTAATCCTAGGAGATTGTTTATATTAAATAACATTGCTCGTTTATAAAAATCAATGATGAAATGATATTTTACGAGTTTACATAATTTTGGTGAGAATTAGACATGCACAGACCTTTTAAGATCTAGGAGATTGTTTTTCTCACCATAGTGATCAGAACAAGCTTTTGCAACTGGGCTGACTATGTGATCTTTCTCTACACAGTTTGGAACCGTCTTGGATCAGAGCATCTTGCAGTTGGGCCGTTTTATCCCATGGATCTTCTATGGAACAAGATGGGGGTGTACCTGCAAGACACTCCGACGCTCAAGTCAGTTATGATTCAAGCAGGTTTTATTATGTAGAAGAAGATATGTACCTTTGTGTCAATAGGTATGTATTTATAATGGAAAGATGTGCAGCTTGGAGATGTCTTAATGCTAAAGTATACTTGGAGATGAAGTATCTTGAAGTTGCTTGCTGTCATGCCCTTTAATGTTGAGGAGCGTTGCTAAGATAGGCTTTAATATTGTGGTGCTTAATAGCTATCATGAGCTAGGGGATGAAGATGAGATAGCAGCCTTCTTTGACTAAAGGTTTTGCTTAATGGTGAAGACCTTTGATTTGAGCCTTATATTTGTATAATATTTATCTAGATCACATAGTTTATTCACAAATCCTTAATTTCTTGGAACACAGAAAAAAAAAATTAAAAATCAGAAGTTTCTACAAAAATTAAAAATAAAAAGTAACTTGCATATTTAGGAACCAATTGATAAGGCTATTGATCATCCTTCTTGGCTCAATCAGCTTTTTTTTATTAGTTAGGGGGTATGAGAATGACTCGGGTCACTCAATTTCTTATCAATGGATTTAAACATATCCTAACTCATTATGAGTGATGGGCTAAACAAAGCAATCCATTTGAAAATTTTAGAAAGAAAATATAAATTAATTAAAAAATTAATACATAATTTAATAAAATATCAAATACTTTATTGCTTATCATCCTATGTAAAATTGTTCCTTTATGATTGAAAGATTATAAATTTGAATTCAGGAAACAACATTTTTGCAGTTATGCAAAGATGAGGATGCATACAAAAGTTGCCTCCATCCTAAACTCATTAATCGAATTTAACGGGAAGTGATTTTTATCTTTGTATGATGAGTTGATGAAACATCAACTCACCTAAGAAACATGGTTGGATGATATCTTAATAGATCTAATTGGTAAGCAAAAACTCACAATTTTATGGACCACATCCTTGATGAGATTTAATTTTTCAAGCTTTTCTCTCAATTTTAGTAGAAATTTATCTTAAAAATATCAACAAACTTTCTAAACAAACTAAAATGAATGATGATGATAGAATTAAATAAACAAGAGCATTTTAATAACTCGTGAATTTTATACCTAAACATCTTACAAAATGGCATTCAAGATGTTGGAAATTTAATTAAGCTAGTCTCTAAACTTTTAATAAATAATTTAAAAAAAAAACAAAACAAAAATGGAATATAAAGAATAACTAGAACAGAGTTACTTCCCTAGTATCATAGGCTACCCTCTCCTCACATTGTGGCAGTGGATGAGTGAAAATCTGCAAAATTCCGATGTGAAGTACAAGCATATAATCGAAGCCAATTGGCACCACCTTGCCTTCCTAGAGCATATTTTGGATGAAACAGGAGCAGATACTCTCTTATCAAAAAAGAAATAATAATAATCATAAAAATATGAATAGTATAATATTTTTTTTATATTTAATAAAATATATACAAAATAATTAATATATCTGTAATACTGAAAATATTTTGATCTTATTAAATGTATGAGAAGTGTATGAATCAAGTATATCCTTAATACTGAAAATATTTTGGCCTTGCTAAGTGTGTGAGACGTGTATGGCCAATTCTCGTTGATGCTATGTACTGACTTGTTTAATGCTCCTCGCAACCATTAATAATTGACTGTAGAATCTCCTTCAACCTATACTCTTGAAACCACAAACTGAAGGCCAACATAAGCACCCAACCCCAATGAAATTGGAACAAGTGGCAGTGGCAAAAATCTTCATTTTCTGTCACGACAAAAATTAATTTCATTGAAATTGGTGGGTAAATTCTTGGGAAAAAAAATCGTATTACAACAACTTTTATTTGATAATTAGTGAGAGTCATACTGCGTGAAAGAAAAATAAAGTGATAAAGTATAAAAATAAAATATTCCAAATATTAAAAATTTAAGAAAAAGAATAAAAATATATACATAACTCGATCTAGCAAGTTCAACTGAACTCAAATAAAATTAAGTTAAACCAACAATTTGTCAGTTTGTAATAATTTTGATTCGGCGTGACCTATCCTATAATTGACTCGATTAACAAGTATTCTTGAATTGACACCTCTAATTCTAAGTTAGCGTCTTGCAGGGTTTTTTATCATTGTTTTGAAAGACCGTGTAGATTACTCTTTCTTGCTGGCCGTCCAATGAGGAAAAAATTAGTCAACTGTTTCCGTAATTTTCATTCTATACCTGGCACAGTTGCTCCCCAGAGTCCCTATACTTCCTTTCCCTATCTTAAATAGAAATCTCAAATTAGAAATACATCAAAACGACAATTTGAAGCTAGTTATATTAATGATTAAAAGTAATGTGTCATAGATAAATTATTACACATCCGTGTTTTTTGAATTTAGATATTAACCTTTTCTGCCATATGACATTTGGTGTTGCTTTACATCAAATTGTTACACTGCAACACCGTTCTAAAAGTAAACACCCGACCTAAGAGGCAAATTTGAACTTTTTCTTCTCGATTATTTATTTTCTGTTCAGCCGGAATGACCCGTTCAAGTGCTCATGAATCGTAGTCATATTATGCCATGTAACAAATCAAAGAGCGCGGGGACAGAGCCAAGTTCTTTGTATTTAATTCAAATTCCATCTGTTTATATAGACCCTTCATCCTTAAAACCCTTCCCTGACATTCAAATCTTCTCACACACTGACATCTATTGAGACAATAGTGAAGTCAACAATGTCGATTTAACAGTAAACAAACAAAGAAAACCAGAAACTCTGCCCAGCTACTTAACATGTTCATTGGATAATGTTATATGAACAAAACTTCGTGGAAACAAAGGGTCAGTAGCAGTGCAGAGCAGCTGGACTCGGTAAGTTTTCGTCCACGAAAAATGTTAACATGCACAGAAGCATAAGTAGTAAATCTAATAGTGAAAAGCTGACTTTTTATACGAGTAAAGTGTTGTTTATACAGCGATTCCAACCCCAAATAATAGAATGCACTCCATCGGTCTACGCTAGCATGCTAAAAGGAAGATTTAATGGCACGTGATCTACCTGGTTAAATTACTTTATCATCTATTTCTTTGGAAAATAAATCGGACCCAATGGAACATTTTCCTATCGCCCATACAACCCATCGACATATCAAAAATAATTAATCAGAAGAATACAACCTCAACGTATTAGCTCTGTCATCTTTATGCATGAGTTGATGCGGGCCTGAAACAATCAATATTGCACAATCCAACAGATCTCACCATCTCTCCAAAACTGCAGTCACAATAGAGAAAATAGTCAGAAACAACATTTGCGCAAATGATCTTAGCACGTTGGACGTGGTCCGTAACTTACCGGTCAATGCTATTTCTAGCTTTCTCAGATTCTGCTCCATTAGATGCCTTCTCTGGGAGATCTACACTCTTTCTTGTTTTATCTTTCTTATCCATGCCAGCTCTTGACTTTTCTTTATGGTCTGTGCTTGCCCTGGGCCTTTCTTTAAAGTCAATACTCCTTCTTGAATCCTCCCTTACATCCATGCTGGGTCTAGGTTGCTCTCTAAACTCCATGCTGTTCCGAGGTTTGTCCAGTTGATCGGGAACAGGTCCAGATTCAGTGTTTTGCCGCGATGACTTCTCAATGGCCGCAATAAATTTCTTCAGGTGCTTTATATATTGAGGGTAAAGCTCCAGGTCACAATGATTTCCTCCTTTAACCCATAAGGGTTCATATTTTTGTTTACATTGTTCCCAAAGTTGCTTCCCATGGGAGCAATCTACTACATCATCAGCCGTTCCCTGAAAGATACATGCCAACACAAAGAACCATCTTACTTCATAAACATACTAGAAAGTTGAAACTTAATACATTGATTGCATTATAATATTAGTATAGGCATTTAACTAAACAGTTGTCCAATGAAAGAAGTATTCTAACCCATTAACACATTCCCTCATCAAATTTAACTAGGTCAGCTGAATGTTGATTTAAATAAGGTGCATCTCCATTTGAATGCCTAATCAAACACCAATTATGCATATAACCATGTTGATCTACCCTCCCTCTTTTTTTAGTGCACACAACATAGAAAAGCATGCGCTAACATAATTTTGGTATTCTGTTTTCCAATTGATGAAAAACATGAATTGGATGTAGAAACTTGAACGCATGAAAAAGCTTTGAAAGAGTGATACCACCATTTAGCATTGTAATCTCCATAGATAGTTTATTAGCTTACATAGCAAAGGCAATGGATACTTTCAGAATGGTCAGGTGGACATCCACAACGAAAATAGTCAAGAATTGCTCAGTGATTTTGAGCAAAATCTGTAATCAGAATGGTTTCAAATAATATTAACAGATCAATTCAACTGAAAAAGGTTCGGATATATTATTATCCGGAATGACAAGGTTATGTATAGAAAGCAATTGTAACACATGGTAGTTTAAACAAGAGATGGCCTTCAACCCAGACAACAAAAGGAAGTATCTCGTAAACTATATGTGATCCAGAGAAGAATTTAACATTTTAACAGAACACTATCAAAATGGCATTGCTTAATTACTCCAAATTATTAGTCCCTTCTGTACAATGGGACATTTAATTTAATAGTATACATTTGTTAGATGTAAACATACTCACATGAATAACCAGAACTGGACAATTGACCAATGGAATTTTATCAATGTTCTGCACAGAAAGCAGGCAAGTATCATTAAAATAAAGTAATGGGGGAAAAATACAGAGCCAAATTGAACATTGTGATTCACCAATTTAGCATTGATAGGAATAATACCTTGTAAATGTCGAACCAGTATGTCCGCTTCACAGGATACATGACTCGAAGACCGGACAAGATCGGACTGTGGAGAATCACAGCCCTAAGGTTTGGTAAACGAGCAGCCAAATCTGTAGTAGGTCCACTGCCAACAGATTGTCCATACAGAATAATATCTTCCTCTTTCGCCCCATACATTTCTACCAAGCATTTATAAGCAGCTTCTATATCTGCATAAGTGTTCTGCTCGCTAGCCTGCCAAAAGAATAGCACATTGTTGAACTGACACTCCCATTCATATAAATATCAAGCAATCTCATAATGATCTAGATCTACTGGCTCCTGCTTCTTCTTCTTCATTTTTATTTTTATTTTTTTTGTTTTGGGTCATCATTTTTACGTGGACATGTATAACGAGAGTAAAATTTGAGCATTATGTCCACGATATTATCAAGGGTAACCTTAGATGGAAAAAGAATGTAATGGTTAATTTTTTTATTATTATTATTATTAATTAAAAGAAATAATAAGATGTATATAAAAATGAATCAGAAACGAAAAGAAGGTTACATAATAATTTTTCTTTTTCTTTTTTCTCATTTAAAAAAAAAACAAATATGAAAAAATCTTTACTTAAAACGAAAAACTCCCCCCTACGAACTCCTCCATCCATCCATAATAACAATTACCAAAGGAACATTATCCAACACAGTAATATATTCCAATTAAATCACACATACTATTTCAAGTTTAAATTTCTAAAATGTATAAACTCCCACCATCAAAGAGTATGCAACTTCAAAACCATGTAAATCCCAAAATAGAATATTAAAAGGAGAAAATAACATAGAAAGCTTACCTTCCCAGAGGACTGGCCATACCCAGAATAGTCATAACTACAAAAAATAAAAATAAAAATAAAAAAAAATTAAGAAATTCGGCATAAATAATTGTGATCCTACAATAACGAACATAAGCATGGGCGCATAGTATAACTTACCCTAAAAGGTTGACTCGGAGGTGAAGACTGAGTTCACTGAACAACTCGTACATCTGACCCAGATCAGCGGCGTTTCCGTGTGAATAGAGAATGGTCAAAGACGCCGACGGGTTCCTTATGTACATGGCGATGATGTTGTTCCCTCTCTTCGTGCAAAGCTTCAATACGTCGACGTTTTCCCTCGTGGCGACACCTGTCATCTTCAGCTTCCCATTCAACTCTTCAACCCCAACACCATACGACGCCGGATCCGGCGGAAAGAACGCGAACTTCGCCGCCATCGACGACATCACCGTCCCCATTTAATTTCCCAATTAATCCCTAATTCGGTTCAAAAATTTCAAAATCAGTCCCTTTTCTCAGAACTTACAAGCTCGTTTCACAGCAGAGAAATTAAAAAAAAAAAAAAAAAAAAAAAAAGGAAAGTTGGTTTTGTAGGGTTTGGAATTTGATTCGAAGAGAGATGAGAGATAAGCGGCGAGAAAAAGGAGAAGAGCACGTGTGAAAGCGAGGAGCTGTGGATGGGGTAGGATTGGATGATGGCGACGTTATTAAAGAGTGAATAGTGACAGTTCCTTATTGGATGACACGTGTCCCTTTAGGGTCCTCCTTCTGTACAGTTTCCCAGTTTCAGAGACTCTGTAGTCTGTACTGTATGTAGTGTGTCCTCTCTGTGAAACAAATCAAGTGCCAGCGGAATACCGATGATAGTTTTCGCTTTGAAAATCCCAATCTAATTTAATTATGTAATATAGCTTAGTTTTTTTTTGACACTTATAACTCTTAATTAATAATTAATTACCAATTTGATCTTCATTTGAAATTAATTTGAAAATTTAACTCTCTCAAAAAACATAACATTAATTTGTCTTTGTTTGACCGTTGACCACCAAGCCTACCCGGATACACCCCTCCCTACCCGGGTATTTTTTGAAATATTTTTCCTACCCGGATAGGGAGGGGTGTACCCGGGTAGAGTTCTTGAATCTGGGAAAATTGTTGAATTAGTTACCCGGGTAAGGAGGTGCGTACCCGGATAAATATCGACGGTAGGGTTTTTTATAATCCAGCAGCCCCCATTTGGAAAACCCACGAAGGGGTACCCGAGTAGAGCTGCTGGAGGTGTGTTGGTTGCGCGATTTTCAGGCATAATCTTGCACAAATTCGTCTTGTTTCTATCATCAGTTCGTGGACGTGTGAACCTCTCTGCCTTCTACCGATTGAAATCGATCCAAGGTTCCTTTTTTCCGTTTTTATCAATTTTGTTCTGATTGATGAAATATATTCCTCCCTCATTTGAAATCTTATGAATTCCTTTTATTTTCGTTTATATCATTTGATTCTGACCGAATAATTTTATCAATTTGTATGTGATACCCTTACCCTAACCCTAACCCTAACCTGTATGTTTCTCATTTTGGCTTTTTTTCAGTTTAATTGTGTGACGCAATGAATGCTAAACGCGTTTCAAAGCTGCCGATGGGGGAAAATGAGCGAAGAAGCAAGCGTCGACACAATGGGTCGTCATCCTCTCAGCCGCAGGCTGGTGTGAGTCAGGCTCTAGACTTGACGTTCGGTTATTTGTTTGATGATGACATAGCTGCCCACGAGATGTTTGTGAAGTATTTCATGAGCAAGAAGATTTGCGAGCCGAAATCACTGGATTCGGCCTTCTTCAACTTGGAGCGTTTTGACATTGTGCCGCTACTTGAGGAGACACATTTAATTGTGCTTGCGGAGATGTGGTGCCCATACTCGAAGGTGATGGTGAGAGCCTTCTACCAGAACCTTGGCTATGCGCATGGCGAGCTGACTTCCCGTGTCTGCGGGAGTGATATCATCATGACTGCTCCTATATGGACAGAGCTACTGGGGTTTGATTTTGATGGTGTCACAGGAGCAGCCCTATATGATGGAGACAGTCATCATATCTTTGGTGATTATGACAGGGGGGCCACTGTTACAAAGACTAGGAGGGCAGACGTTGAGGCCGAACATTTTTCTCATTATCCTGTGAGCAACTTGTCGGTGTCTGCTCACATTCTCCATTATGTGGTGACACATATTATTTTCCAGCGCCCGCATAATCATTCGAAGGTGCTGGAAGGAGACTTTGTCATCTTGTGGGCCCTCCTTCACCGTAAGCAGGTGAACTGGAGGCATTATATATGCATACTGATGTGGAAGGCTGCCAAGTCAAAGAAGGTTGAATTTCCTTTTGCATTCCTGGTGCAGAAGATTCTGCATAGATTTGGTGTGCCCATGGCAACAGAGACCTTGAAGACCGCCACAGGGTGGAATGCTATATTTGGTGAGAGGCTCCTGAAGCAGTGTGGGATCATGCGGAGCAGAGCGGGTACCTGGTACTGGAAGAAGGCACTAGAACCACCTGAGATCCCAGTCCACCACGATGCTGAGATGGAGGATGCACCTGCAGGTGATGTCTTTTGGGTTTAGGGTTTATGCATTACTGTTGGTTTGTTTTTTGGTTCTTAATTATAATATGTCCATTTTCATGACTTATGACGCAGGCCTTGATGACGATGATGATGGCGCTGCTCCTGTTGATGACGGACGGACACGTTCCACCCGCAATCGGCGACCACCAGCCACTCCATCTCTTGAAGGTGGATAGACAGCTCCTGAGGATGGATGGACACTTGATCATGTCATGGCATCCATGTATAGTCTGACAGTAGGCCTTGACTCATTGACTACTAATTTTAGAGGATATAGACAGAGCACAAGCAAGTGGCGAAACCAGATTGACACAAGGGTTTAGAGCTTGGACACAAGGGTTACATGCTTGGAGGCTGGCTACAGGAAGGGTTATGAGGAGGCTGATGCTGAGGATGATGATGATGTGGAGGAGGATGATGAGAATGGGGAGGACACGCAATCGGATTCCAGTAGATAGGGTTTCATATGATAGGGTTTAGCCAGTAGTGGATGTATTTTTGTAAACTAGCAGGGTGTATTGGATGTATGTCATGACTTATTTTGGTACAATTAGGTTATTTACCTACATTTTGAAATATGTACTTGTAGTTCGATGTTCAATGGTTTGAATGTTCAATTGTGTCTTTGAAATGGTTTGAATGTTCATTTTGATATTTCGCAAATTTGGAATAAGTTTAGCGCACATCGTGCCTCCGGCATCCTATTTTACGAACTGAATCCACCCGCAAGTCATATTATATGTTGACTTTCGAAATCAATCAAAAAACTACACAAAAACCAGGTGGACCAGCTGTTGTTGCAACAAAACCAATTGGTCTACCCGAGTAACACGTACTGGTGTACTCGGGTATGGGCTACCCGGGTATACCATTACATGTTACCCGGGTAGACCAGTTGGTTTTGCAGCAACAGCAGCTGGTCCACCCGATTTTTGTGTATTTTTTTTTTATTGTTATGGTATACCATAACCTTAACTGACTTGGGGACGGGGTAAATGGGTATGGTATACATTCAGACATTGTGTAATATGAAACGAGTGGAATGCTTAACATAACGGTTGTCTACAATGTATGTTATGCAACACAATACATAAATAATACAAGATAGGGTTTATGGTACCATAAACAATACACAACAATACAAGTCAGTAGGAAAAGACAATACGTAAACCGTATGTCATTACAAAACAAAGTACAACATGGAAACACAATCACGCTTGTCTTAGCCTAAAAGGACATGTACGAATGTTATGTCCAACTTGCTTGCAATGCTTACATCTGCTCTGACTGCTCGAGGGTTGAGACTCAACCCAATCCATCTCATTCTGAATCCTTGATGACTTTGGTCTTCCTTTTGCACGTACCAACCTTGCATCCGGAATTACAATAGGTCCAATAACATGTGGAATCAACAATTCATTGCCAATAGGAAACCAGTGTGCAACATACACTTTAGCAATGGTTGGGATTTTGAAAATTTGATCCACATAATCATAATGGTTTAACTTGGCTGCCTTGCAAACTGCTAATACATGGCTACACGGATACCTCTTTGCTGTAAACCTACCACACTGACATGTACGATTGATTAAGTCCACTCTCATAATGTCACCAACCTCATGTGTAGATTGATTATAGGCATCCTCAACCTCAAACAATAACAACTCACTATCATATATCCTTACACGATAAGTGCCGGCCAATTCATCATTTTTTTTCAAAGCTGCCTCAACCTTCTTTGAAATTATCCATCCTTGTGAGATATCTTTTTTCAATCGTTTCACGTCTTTTAACGAAATACTCAACGAGTCTACTGAATGTCATCTTCACCAATGCAGTTATCGGCAAATTACGTGCTCCACGAAGCACCTTATTCACACACTCAGATAGGTTGGTTGTCATATAACCAAACCTATGTCCTGCCTCATCATACGATCTGCACCATTGCTCTTTCAGAATAACATCCAACCATAAAGCAACTTCAGGATTGTTGTCGATAAATTCCTTGTATCTAATGTCAAAGTTTATCTTTGAACATGTGTACCCTGCAGATCAATCATCACATATGCAATTGGTTAATTACGATTTAAAAACATAAACATGAGTAATTAAACCGTACAGTACCTAATTTCATCAATGTTTTCTTCAATTCCACATTCCTAAAGCGGGTATTGAAGTTGCTTCCGATGTGACGTAGACAAAATACATGATAAGCATATGGAGGCTGCCACCCAGCGTGATCTTTCACCGCCCTTATGATGCTTCGATGACGATCAGAGATTAGACAAATTCCGTGCCTATGTGTGACATGGAAGCATAAAAGGCTAAGAAACCAGGACCAATCTTCCAACCTCTCACCTGGAGGAACAACAACAAAGGCAATAGGGAGCAGATATCCATCTCCATCCTGAGATGTTGCAATCAAGAGAGTTCCTCTGTACTTCCCATACAGATGAGTGCCGTCAATTTGAATTATAGGCTTGCAGTATTTGAATGCTTCAATGCATTGGTGAAATGTCCAAAAAACCCTGTGTAATATGGCCCTGTCTGTATAAACCTGATGTTCGTCAAAACATTGATTTATATCAAGCTTGAACATAGAACCCACATTCACCTGTGTCATATACGTCAGCCAATTGGGCAAGAAACCGTATGACTTCTCCCAGTCACCATACAACTTAACAATGGCCTTCATTTTTGCCTTCCAGGCCTTCCTGTACGTTATGTTGTATCCATACATTCCCTGTATTCTCTCTTGTATCAGAACCGGTTTTGTAGATGGATCTTCCTTTAACATATCTGTTAAAAAAAAAAAAACCATATTATCATGCATTCAATAAGAAGCTTAATTAAGTACACGGTAGAATACATACTCATTATAGCCGCACAAATGACATCTGAATCCAATTGTCGATGACCTTGTGATAGGCCCTGATTGAGGCATGTGTGATCTTGACCCCATTTACGGACCACCCAATTAGCTCCCTTCTTCGGCTTGATTGCCCTCATATACCAGGAACAACCCTCAGCATGGTTTTTACACTTCATAACAAATCTTGACTCGTCGCTTTTTTCGACTATGGCTGTCCTGCGCCCCT